TTTTAAAGATTACACTTGATTTATACTAGATAGTTAAAATAATGTTGTATAGCATCATTTTAAGAAACCGGTCTAATAATTATCTGGAATATTCATCCTCCTGTTTGAGATTAACTGAATGTAGTTGTTCCCTAAAAAACAAATTCTTTGACTGAGTTGCCAGGGTATATCCACATCTGCAATCACTTTGCTGACCGGATTTTATGTCATTTAATGTAGCATATGTTGGTCAAATATGATTTTTTGTTCTGTTTTCGTAGAAGTCTTTCAAGTTACAGAGCTTATCTGGTACCTATAAATTAGTTTCATTGTCTGGATACTGTGCTGTAGTGATATCTCAGTAAATGGTAATATCAGGTATGACATATATATTGCTTAAAACAATGGACAGTGAAAAGCTAAATGGAAAACTGTATTTAGTTAATTATCGACAAGATCTTTTTGCAAAATTCCACGTTAGATCCCACCTTTGATTTTGGTATTGTGGGTGGGCTTATAAGTATACCATAAGTATACTTATGGTAATAATCCAATAGAAATATATTGGCTGCAAAACTTATTCCTTTTTATAGGAGTAGCACAAAGTATTGTTGGTGCCAGCGTTAAGGTTGAACAAGTCCAAAACAAGCTACTCATAAGAAAATCGTAGAAAACCAACCTCAAAAAGTTATCCATGGAGTTCATGCGGTCATCTCAATAGGCTTGCAAGATCTTCGTTACTGATCTGATTTCGTTTTCAAGATCACTACTTAGGAAGTGTGCATCGAGAAATTTAACACACACCTTATAGTATTCAATTAATAGTGGGATTGGGTACTATATTTTCTGTCGAAATCTTAACATATGGCATAATTTGATACCCTTACGTTCGCACATTTATGCAGGTTGGTCAACAGATAGGGCTGGCTATGTCTTTGGAAAGTCTTAATATTGATGTTTGTTGTCTATCCGAGACCCGTATTCAAGACTCTGGCGAAGTACTACAAATTCGCTCTCCATCTGTCGCTTCGAAAAGCTTGTTTTACGTGCGCTTATCCGGGGACCCTGTGGCATCTTCGTCTGGTCTTGCTGGCGTTGGTGTCGCACTAAGCGCTAGAGCTGAGGCAGCACTAGTCGATTGGATCCCCATTAACAGTCGGTTATGTGCTGTTAGATTAGAAAGTTCCATCAAAGTGAGAAGAAATCGGCGTGAGAAACGATGTCTTTTCGTCATCTCCGCCTATGCCCCGACAGATTGCAGCCCGGATGCAATCAAGGATGAGTTTTACCACCAGTTATCTGTTCTTCTCCAGAAAGTGCGTTCGACAGATATTGTAGTACTAGCCGGAGACTTGAATGCTCAGGTCGGGCGTCTAGGCACAGAAGAGAGTCGTTTAGGTGGCCGATGGGGACTCGTTGGTCGCAGGTCAGATAACGGGGACCGTCTACTGCAACTTTGCACAGACCACAACCTGTTTCTGGCTAGCACTAACTTTCGGCACAGTCATCGCCGATGTGCCACCTGGCGTCCTCCCTCTGCATCTCAAGCCTGGACTCAGATTGATCACATCGCGATCAGCTACCGCTGGCGTGGTTGTGTACAAGACTGCCGCTCCTTTTGGAGTACCTATCTGGACTCTGACCATGCCTTGGTCTGCGCCAATCTTGCCTTACTTTTCAGTGGACAACGAAGTGACCACCACCAACGGATTGATGTTAGCAAGCTGGTTGCAACTTCTGTTGCAAGTAAGTATCGAACCGAGCTAGCCTCTAGGCTAGCTACCACTCCACCGAAAAGTATAGATGAGCATTGGTTGCAATTGCATGACGCCATGAAAATGGCGGGAACAGTCAGTTGTGGGTTTGCGAAACGTCCCGCTTTTAAGCACTGGGTTTCTTCTGGTTCCTTACAACTCATTGAAGCCCGTCGGTCTACTCCGGGTGACCGTGAGTTTGACCATAAACGAAGGATGTTACGTAAGGAAATTGGGCAAAGCTTGCGTAAGGACCGAGAAGCCTGGTGGTCGAAGCGTGCTAATGAGCTGGAAGCAGCAGCTGCATCTGGTAACTACCGGAAGCTCTTCCAGCTCATCCGAGCCACTGGCAGCAAGAAGTCTGGTGTGAGTGAAACAATCTGCGAGGATGATGGGATGCCAATCACTAACATCCATCGACGTCTTGGACGATGGGCAGAATTTTTCGAAGGGCAGTTCAACTGGCCTGCTGCTCCGGCAACATCGGTCAGACTGTCCTGCCCTCCATGGCCGGTGACGACTGATCCACCAAACGAGGAGGAAGTCCGCAAGGAACTCCAACTCTTGAAGCGTTACAAATCACCTGGCCCAGATGACTTACCTCCGGCTCTTTTTAAAGATGGTGGTGACTTTTTGACTAAGGAATTGACGACGTTGTTTACAAAGGTTTGGGAACTAGAGAGTGTACCAACGTCATGGAATGAGTCGATAGTTGTCCCTATCTTTAAAAAGGGTTCACGTCGTTCCTGTAACAACTATCGGGGGATAAGTCTACTTCCGATTGCGTCCAAGCTATTGGCTTCCGTCATACTTCGTAGGTTGTTCAAAACCCGAGAAAGATTGACTCGCGAGGAGCAGGCTGGGTTTCGTTCTGGTCGAGGATGTATTGATCATATCTTCACCCTCCGCCAAATGTTAGAACACCGCCATACTTATCAAAGGCCAACAATCGTAGTGTTTCTTGACATCAGGGCTGCCTTCGATTCGTTGGACAGGACTGTTCTCTGGGATTGTCTATTGAAGAAGGGTGTGCCTGAGAAGTTTATTAACATCCTAAAAGCCCTATATAAAAACACCTCAGGCAGAGTGAGGGCATACAACCACCTCTCTCCATTGTTCCATTCGAGCAGTGGGGTTAGGCAGGGTTGCCCAATCTCACCATTCCTCTTCAACTTTGCCATCGATGACATTCTGGAAACAGCTCTGATGAATGTAAGTAATGGTGGTGTGGATCTGTTGCCTGGAGAAAGACTTCTCGACCTTGAGTATGCGGACGATATTGTCTTACTGTGCGATAATGCCCAAGGCATGCAATCCGCACTTAATCAGTTGGCAATCAGTGTCCGTAGGTATGGTATGTGCTTTGCACCTTCGAAGTGCAAAGTACTTCTACAAGACTGGCAGGATTCCAATCCTGTACTCACCCTGGATGGTGAGCAGATAGACGTAGTCGAGAAGTTCGTGTATCTGGGTAGCTGCATAAGTGCTGGTGGGGGTGTGAGTGATGAGATCAATGCACGTATAGTGAAAGCCAGAGCGGCTTATGCCAATCTGGGCCACCTTTGGCGCCTTCGTGATGTTAGTCTGGCTGTAAAAGGTCGGATCTACAACGCGTCGGTGAGAGCAGTTTTGCTCTATGCTTGTGAAACCTGGCCTCTCCGAGTTGAGGACGTTAGACGACTCTCTGTGTTCGATCATCGCTGTCTCCGAAGGATTGCTGACATTCAGTGGCAACACCATGTCAGTAATGCAGAGGTTCGGCATCGTGTGTTCGGGCACAGAGATGATAATTCAATTGGTGTCACCATCTTGAAACACCGACTTCGGTGGCTTGGACATGTTCTCCGAATGTCGTCCCAGAGAATTCCACGTCGTGCATTATTTGCCGACTCTGGGACTGGTTGGAAGAAGCGGAGAGGTGGTCAGTGCATGACATGGTGTCGTGGCATGAAAGAAAGCTGCAAAGGACTGGCTTGTGTTGGTCCTTCACGACTCCCTGGTTGGGGTCTGAGAGATGGTGCTACACAGTGGCTAGAGACGTTATCAGATATGGCTCAGAATAGAAGCCAGTGGCGATCCTGCTGTAACCTTCTTTTACTTTCTTCATAAAAAGTGGTTCTGTCTCCCTTACCTGAAAGATTTCTTCCGATTGTACCTTTGCGTTCCCTGATTACTAGCACATTACCTTACACCAATCTCTTCGTTATTGTTCTCTCTTTTTTTGTTGCGCTCCTTAGCTTTTTTTTTCTTTCTTTGTATTCCTCTCGAATTTTCATTGTTTTGTGTGGCGCATATATATTGGCGCTCTCTTGTACCAATATTCATGTGTCCAAATAAATAAATAAATATATTTAAAATCAATTCACCTCTACATACTCTTGTATTTAAACGTCTTGACAACGTGGATAACTCACAAAGAAATCGTCGTTATCGAAACTTAAGTGTAAAGCTTTGAGAATGAGCTTCCTACTATCTATGAGTTATTTACCGAATATAAGTGTTTACTAATGTGAACATTTTATTCTGACCGACTTAAGTAAATTATATTTATTTATTTAAACACACAAATATTGGTAAAAAGGGGTAGCGGATAGATATACCCCACATAAATCAAAATGAAGCAGGTGATTTTATTGGGGGCCACACCTGTGACCTTTGAACTAAAAGTTTGATCCACAAGGCAATGGAGCAACGTCAGGATATGCAGTCCCATAGTAACTGGTGACCAACAATTGGTTCATACTCCATTTGTTCCTTCAGGATCCTGAACCCCATGTACATCATTGGTTTGAGATGAAGTTTTCCAACTCCCTAAGTGAACTCTTCGTGTCCACCAACGTGTTTAAAGTGCCGGACATTCACTTTTTCATCCTCTCAATTTCGTAAAGAACACCCGTGATGCGAGAAGGCAATGAGTAGGACTTCCCTGATGGTAGTTGTATACATGTGGCTATGTCAGAGCATTACGAGAGGTAGAGTTGACTCTCACCACTCTGAGCTGTACAAAGTCATTTGGGGGGGCAGGTAAAGTTAGTATCACTAGAAACTCTGCTACTTATATCTTTCCGGTTAAGTCATTTAACTCTAAACGTATGGTAATTTCATCATTGTGTTTTTTTTTTCTCTTTAATTTTATAGATTTTAAATGATTAATTTATTTACTCATGTGAATAAACAATTAATTCATCATCAAAAATCTATAGTGATTCATCAAATTAGAAATAAAAAATATTATCGTGATTGGTGGATCCCATTTCATTTGAATGATTATCAAACAGTAACCCAATCCAAATTAAATTCTTATGATCAATGAATCAAGAATGGATTAATTCAAATCTTCCCATAGAATTAAAATATTTCGATATATCACATCTTCCATCTTATTTAAATAGAAGAATAAAACCAACAAAAGAATTTTTTCAATTGATTCATCGTAAAGAAAAAACAGAAGATTATCAAAGACGTTTATTTGGTGAATATGGATTACAATGTGGTATTAATCCAGCTTTATTATTTATGAATGAACATGAAATGATCTATGAAAAAACAAAGAAAATCTATTAGAAAATTCTATATTAGAAATAGTTCATATGAATAAGGAACAAGAGAATAAAACACAATTGAATAATGAAACATTGTAAATTGAATCTTTAATTTATTTTCATTTTCATTTTTTAGAATGTTAAAAATCAAAAAAAATTTAAATAAAATGCCTGAATTATTAAAAAAATTTCATAATCAAGAAGAAAAACAATTATCTATGAATAATATGAAAAAGGATAAAATGAAAATGTTTATGGAAGAGGTAAGTATTAGTATATGAACCATATTTGTTTTGTTTTTTTTAAGGCAAGAGATCGTTTCGGTTTTTATCCAAGTAGAAAAGATCCAAAATTTATCAAATTGATTTATGAATCTGATGAACAAAATAAATTAGAACGTAAACAGAAAAAGAAATAAGTAGATGTGGGTGTGTATGTTTTATAGAAATAAATTCATTTCATATTGTTGTTGTTGTTCTTGTTGCTTGAATCTTCCCATTGATGTTTAACATTGCAATGGATCAGTTTGGTATTCGCATATGTGCCATCTTGTGCGTATTGCCTTCATCCACAAGCTTTATAAGCAAAGGTGGATAGGGACTAGTAGTGGAATCTAGGCCCCTAAATGCCCTGGTATGGCCGACAGTGGGGAGAGTCCGCTCTCCCCCTTCAAATGCTTGCACATGGCCACGCGTACACAGCCTCTACCAGGGAAGTCCTACTCACTGCCTTCTCATGGTGGGGGTGTTGTTTACGAAATTGAAAGGACGAAAGCCGAATGTCCGAAGATTTAACCGGATTCCAAACTAATGGTGCACATGGGCTCCAGTATCCTGAAGGAACAAATGGAGTATGAATCAATTGTTGGTCACTGGCTTCCATGGGACTACATCTTCTTACGATGCTCCACTGCCTTGTGGATCAGACCTTCAGGTCAAAGGCTCCGGATGTGGCCCCCTAAGAAAACCACCTGTTTCGGTTTGGGCACCCAAGCAGTATCACAGCCCTCACACAAAGTGTGGCGCATATATATTTGGTGCCCTCTTGTATCAATATTTGTGTGTTCAAATAATATTTAAAAAAGTGGAATCTAGAATGCGTGCCTCGTCCTATTTGGGACTCGTTAGTTGAATGTACTTGCATATCAGAGTTGATGTTCACTCTGACACTCGAACCCAGTACCATTCACTTCAAACGCCATCGCGTTATTGTGATGACGGACCACGGGTGAACTCGAGGAAGCTCTAGGAGACTCAGAAGGAACCGAGCGTATTCCATCCAATCACCTTTTGGAAGAATACTCTAGAAATCCTACGTGTAGCTTCCCGATTGGACAATGCTAATATGCAGATGAGAGGACTGTAATGATGATTTCGTCCTTACTAAAAACTATAAATACCTGACAATTTTGTAGTATAACTGACGCTGTCTGGGAATATTATTCCTTTCATTAGTTCTGGCGTTCTAGTACTCACGTTATACGCGGTATATCGAGAACAACCTTCTAAATGTAACAGTTATCCACTCAGCTACTGAGTCCTGAAATATATTTTTCTTTTATAAACATACCTTTTATATATTATAACATTCGTTGGTCCAACAGGGTTCTTGGTATCTGTGTGGTTGTGCCACAGGATTGAGCTGTACTATTCAGATTGTAGCGTTAAAGCCTAAACGGTGTCTGGTTCTCCGGTGAGGCGGGATTGAGCTGTACTGTTTGGGTTGTCACGTGAAAGTCTGGATGGTGTCTGATTCTCCTGAGAACCAATGTAAAACTACCCTGGCTCACAAGGGTATATTATATAACTATGAACAACATTCGGCTTGTTTGTCTCTAAACCAGAACTTTTGCGTATGTTATGTAGTTGTATAACTCAGAATCAGTTGTGATGACGTAAATGTATTCGCTTTGTCTTATCTTAGTTTAAAATTATCTAATACTTTTCGCCGCTTCAAATGACACTGTCTATCTCTGTTCTTCTATAAGTGATAATACCGTTGCTACATTTAGTACTCTGGTATTTATTTTGACAATTTCATTTTAACTGTGTTGACGTTATGTGACAGCTTGAACCGAAACACCTATATCTCAGGTTCTACGCTGTTTATGATTGAAGATACATGATATTAGTGTATTGCTACTTAGTTTGAAGTGTAAATTATTTGTATATACCTGTAATTCAATAGTTGAGAAGCGAGATTAGTTTACAAATACACATTAATTTCATTCTAATAGATTATTTCAATTAAATTAATTCATCTACCAGGTGCTTGGCTATGAGCTACACCTTAAGTGAGGACTAGTGATACTGCCCAGCTAATTAAACCAAAGTAGGTGTCGCGGGACTCGAACTCTCTGATCATTAGCCTACCGCTTGAAAGTAGTTATTCTACATCTTCCCATCTTATCTTCGCAAATTTCGACCCATGTAAAATGATGCGTACAGTATACTTTTCTTCAGGAGTGGAATTGTTTAGATCAAAGACATCCTTACAGTAGGAAAGCTATATATGATGTATAGACAAAAACATTATTTGAACCGGATCACAATTCACGCAATTAATACAGCTGTATAAAGATGTATGAAAACAATAAGTGATTGAGGAGCCAGTGTTTCCTTCATCTTTTAAATTCTTAGCCATAAGCCATCTTATTTTCTCGATTTCCCACTTATGACATTTTTTACCCCTTCTCATGTCACTAACCTCCTCTATCACTATTTTGAGCTGCGGAAACTCGCTCCATTAAACAATGAATCACAAATGTGTTCTCTGTTTCGAGTTACAGCTTAAACATAAGGACTACTGATATCACTAAAATGGGTGCAACAATTGGCTTGTCTCCACAAACACCATCCCACACGCATTCATATAAGACCTAAAGCCGTCTACGGATGATCAATGACTTGAATTGTGAACCATTTTAGCTGTGATTTCTCAATTTGAAAAGGCTGGCTTACGGAGTGTAGTCACGTGAGTCCAGTATATGAAAACTTGCATCGCTACACATTCTTACCAGATCTGCTACCAACAACTAATGGTCTAAAACCTTTTGCCTCATATTTCGACATAAGTAGCTGTGTGCTAGAAAGGAGCTCATTCAGACATTTTAATGAGCGTAACTATATATTCCGTATCGAATAAAACATCCTTGTGGAGTCCTATGTGATTATCGAGGAATAAAAATCATTCTTACAATTTTATCATTGCTTCCTCAGGACTGTCTATAGTTTTAGAAGACACGTCTTATCATCATGAGAATACCTCAATACTTCTCTAGTTACATCAACGATTACAACTCTAAAACTTACTGTATATCTGTTACTTATTAATAAAAAGGTGATATTCTCCTCAATGAGTTCTAGGGCATAAACTCCGCCTAATACTTGTTCAGGTTGTATTACAAACCAGTCATTTCCCTCTATTCACATTCAACTTGGTAATCTTAAGACGGCAAGCATTCACATATGACAGAGCAATGTTGCCAACTAATCAGAAACTAATCTCAAATATCTGACATGTGGTAATTCCATGTAGCAATCCTAAGAATATATTCAATAACAACCTTTCCGTGTAGTAAGTTCTCAGCAAAACATGCCGACAATATGAAAGACATGACCCATAGGGTCGTAAGAACTATAGAACAGAAGGCCCGTTCTGCATTCTACTGCTAACCACCATCCATGTCTGCTTATAATGCCTGACTTAATGGCACTCCACACAATATGCACATAGGCTGATCGTTTGCAATCTTAAAGACTAATGGTAAGATTGAAGCAACCAACACAATTAAATCACAAGAACTATGTTTTATCCAACTCCCTGGAATACGTCTATCAAACGTTCTCTACTCGAACACAACTGGTCGAGTGAGAGCTTATGGCGAACTGTCATCAGAATTGATTACCTCAAGTGGTGTTCGTCAGGGCTGTCCAATCTCCCATTCTTGTTTAACTTTGTCGATGACGTGCTTTTAGAGATAACACTTTCCTAATCTAAATTTTCAAGGGTTGGACTTCTACCGGGAGATTCACTTTTTGAACTAGAATATGCCGAGGACATAGTTCTATTTGGTGAAGACGCTGACAAAATACAGAGTCTTCTGACCACTCTAAGCAACAATGCAAGCATGTTCGGGATGTGATTCTCCCCTCGAAATGCAAAATGTTGCTTCAGGATTGGGCTGCATCGACACCCGAACTAATGATAGGGAGTGAAGTAGATGAGCGTGTCGACCGCTTCACTTGTCTTGGGAGTCTCATCAGCCTTTGTGGTCTGGTATGTGACAAAATCTCAGGACGGATATAGAGGTCTCGAATAACTTTCACCGACTACGGAATTTGAGTCGACAACTACACCTCTGTGCTAATATGGTGTGGCAACTCGAATTGATGTACGTACGAAGTTCTACGTTGTTACTGATTGACTCTACCAAATGGTGTAATCAGTTTGCGGAGTAGATTAGTCAACATGATGGAACAACATACTTTTTGTGATCAATAGCTGATAATATTACTGTATGAAATGGGAACTATCCCCCAAACAAAGATACAGTTATCATGTTTTTTTATTCAAAAGAAAACATCAGATTAGTTACATAAGTTGTTTTTATTTTTCATTTAGTAAATAAGTATGATAATAGTGATGTGTAGATAAAAAAAATGGGAAGTGTGAAATGCACATTGAATATAAATCTATTCATTTTCAATGGTCAATGGGAGTTCTTCATCATTGTAAATATTCTCAGCCTGAAATAATAAACACAGAGAAATATGCAAACACTGAATTAGTTGAGTTGAAACACGTTTCTTTTTCCCTATCGAGTAGTGTAATATAACTCATCCAAAAATTTGTAGATTTGTGTAATGGACTTTTCGACTTACATTTTATGCGTGAGAACTAATGATACCACCGGTACTACTACTATTACTACTCTACTACCCAGATGCATAAACAGAAACATGTAGGTCTAGACTCGCACTTTTGACCTAATGGTTGAATGTTGAACACCTTAATCACTTAGAGACCATTATATGATAGATCCTGTCAGTAGTAACATTCCCAATTTTTAAAAAAGGTGGATGATGATATTGATCTCAATCACATTAGTAGAATCAGTCCAGATTATATGTACATTGGATAAGAATAAATCTGAAGGTTTAGGACTTTTCGTTAGTTACTTTAGATTACTTGATAGCGGTAAGAAAGTATAATGGTGAAATTAAAACAACCAATCTTTTCAACCACTTGTAACACGGCAATTTCGGTGACCCGTTGAATACACAGACCATTGGCCTTTGAATCGAAAGGCATTGGGTTTAGCTGTTAATGTGAATGTCAACCTTGGTATGCGGGTACGAACGGCTGACGAGTTTCAGTTATGACGAGACGCGCATCCTTGTTTTCACTGCTGGCTACAACTGATCCATGATGGTGTGTGGTAAAATAGCTGTGTAGGACGCATACATGTTGAAAGACAGATGAAGAATTTAATCCTGAATATCAAAAAACAGGATAATTCAAAACCCAACTATGCTAGAAACTAGATAAGTTCTCACAATAAGAGAAAACATACCATTTGCCACACTTGTAATATATTATCTTCAGATACGGAACAAATAACCCATGCATCATTTGGATTCCATGAAAAATCTGAAATTTTCGCTGTATGCCCACCATGAATGAACAGTAATTCCGGTGGTCCATCTTCAGCATCCTCAGCTGATTGTTCTTCACCAATTTTACTAAGATCCCAAACATGTAGACGTCGATCGGTACCTGAGCTAGCGAGAATAGTTTCATGATGTGGTGACCATTGAACCTATATAGTGATAAAGAATCAGTGAAATGACAAATACCAATTATTCTATCTGTAAACAGTATCTGTTGTGGTCACTAAAAACCAGTGTACTACTAATGAGAGAGTTAGTGAGGAAGGATGCTATCTCTCCAAGTACAATGGTATAAAGAAGTAATCAACAATCTTAATTTCATAGATTAATTGTTTAAGATGAGTTTTGCCTAGTCAACGTTTAAACGTATTCTCAGTGTATTTCAATTGTACCTGGTTACCTACCTGATTCTCAGTATATTTTTTTCTTGTATTGATTATTTCACTATGATCCATTATAAAGACATTCTAGTCACTATAATACATTTAATTGTATTTTTATTTGTAAAACAAACTGCAAGTACATGAGAGCTAGAGATACAACACAGTTGCTCAAACCGAAGTAGGTGGGGTGGGATTCAAAACTGGGACTTAATGGAAGAAAGTCGAATGCTTTAACCATTAAGCTACCGCTTAAATATAAATATGAAATAGCCTATAATTTTGCATGTCATTCTTGTGTACGAGCCATGCTAATGTTTTATATCTAAATGTTAATATGTACAACTGAGGGGTATAACAACATCGGTTGTTACAAATAAATTAATCCATTAACTTTCCTTCATAAGCTTGTTCTGTATAGAAACAACCGTTAATTTTTATAAATAACTTACTTGAAATATTTCATCTTTATGCGATTCAAATGAATGTAACTTCATTTGTAAACTACGTAAATCCATAGTGCAACAGTTCGATCAGCACTACCAGTGGCTAATATATATTCACTAAATGGATTAAATGATAAACAATTAACTTCAGCTAAATGTGAATCAACTGTATGACTAGGACGTGTTGTACAACCACTACGTGTATCCCATATCATAAGTTTTTTATCATCAGCAACTGAACCAAATATAGATTCATGTAATGGATGCCAACTGACATCTTCTACAACACTTGTATGACCAGTGAATATAGTTTGAGCGTCTATAATACGACCTTCTTTTGGAGTTGCATTAATATCCCACATACAAATAGTCTATAATAAATGAAAATATACATAAATTGTTCGATTTTATCGAAGAAAAAAACAACGAATCTCGATCGATTCAACACGAAATAATGAAAGCTAAGAGAGATTCTAATGACAACATTAAAGAAGTGAAAATGAAATACTGTCAACATTTTATGTTAGAAATTAAGTATCTGAGTATAGTATTTGTCTAATTTAACTGTTTATCAAGTATAGATTTCATATACTCGTCTGTGAATGGCAATATCCAACCGATTGAACTGAAGTAGATAAGATGAGACTCGAACCTGTGGCATACCAGTTAAAGATGGGCACTTTGAGGAGAATAAACTCTATCCAGTTTCGTTGTTGACGAGTTAAAGTGATCATGACAGATACTTCTTAGTGCATGATGAATTTGAAGTTAAAGGGGGAGATTACAGACAGATAGACATACGTAAACAACTGGAAGGAATGTAACGGACTTAATTTACGGCAGTGAGAGAAAAAAAATTAAGATGGGAAATTAACGTTAATTTTAATGGGAATTTAAACATACGAAATAATAAATAAAATCCTAAGAAACATGCCCTCTTCAAACGAAAAGCGAATGCCTGACGCTTTAACAGGGGTTGGTGGATGTGGAGGATTCATTTAGGGGAGTTGAAAAACCCTCATTCCAAACCAATGGTGAATATGCATTCCAGTATCCTGAGCGAACAAATGGCGCATGAACCAATTGTTGGTCACCGGCTACCAAAAGACTGCACCTCAAAACGTTGCTCCACTGCCTTGTGGATTAGACCTTTAGGTCAAAGGCTCTGGGTATGGCCCCCTAAGAAAATCACCTGCTTCGGTTTGGACACCCGGGCAGTATCCCAGCCCTCATAAAACTCGAATGACTTATGTGGCCTATATCTGTTTGGTGCCTCCTTGTACCAATGTTTATGTGTTTAAATAAATAATTTACGTGACCTAGTAAAAACAGATAAGAACTATATGTCCTCGCTTTTTTACCCGTTTAACTCTCCTTTTACCAACTTATATGTGAGAACAATGAATAAATAACAAATTTAAGTTTTTTTTACCACAAACAAAACTACATGGAACAGAAAATAAGAAAAGATAATAAACGTACATAATCATCCGACGCAGACAACAAATAACCATTTAAATTTGGATTCCATGATAAACCATAACCTTCTTTTTGATGCCCTCTTAAACGTAATTCCGGTCGACATACACCAGATGGATCAGGTTTACTTGGATGTTTGGTATAATCAAACACCAAAACATCAGAACTAGGCGTTTTAGTAGCGATTACACATGGATTCTGTGGCATATAACGAGCTCGATTTACTTCACCCTCGTGATTGATTTTTATATTGATCTCAATTTTACCGGTTACTGCACCAAACCCACCAAACTCTGATTTTTTTGTGTGGAAAAAAAAGGATTTATGCAAAGTTATTCATTTTTAATCTGGATGTTGAAATGGAATCACTTAAATGGATAATGTAACATGATAACTAACTAAAAGTTTATATACTCTTACTTTGGTGTCATATAATTATGTGTTAAGACCTAGTGAATACTAAAGTGGGTGAGTTTAGAATGTATGGACATATCGTCGAGTATTAAACATAACTCGGCAAGAACACCACATTCACTAGTAAAACCAATCATAATCCATGTACAACCTGGGAACATGTGTACGTTTACCCAAGTTGTTATACCACAACATTAGCAGGGTGAAATGAAATTAACAAGACTAATATACAGAAGTCTAAATGAGAAACAATAGTAGTAGTATTAGTGATGTTAAAAAAAAGGATGGGAAAAAATGAGTAAATTAGCGAAATGAAATATATAATATGATTTTGAAATTGATACAGAACCATGTCACCTGACGTCCCTAATAACTGGGTATGCTAGTCGTGCGGAAAACAACCGGGTAGACTGCATCTATCAACACAGCTCAGATCAAAAACCAGTAACTGATGTAATGTTTTGTTTTGACTGTCTAGAGCTTTTTCCTACAATACCTAATACGGTGCGTTGATGCCGTACAAAATACATGTCCCAAACACTTCAGATGATGAAGTTTGATAACTCCATCAACCGACTGTCAGGTACCCTATTGCTTAACATTGCAGCAATTCTCACTCAATCATTCCACGATATGAGAATGGTTAAAGATAAAAAACCTGCAACCTATGCATATCTTTTGCTTTCACAAATCATGTTTCGCAACCTTAAGGTAAAGTAGAAGAATATTTCGCCTACAATACAAGTGAAGCAAGCTGACAAAAGTTAAGAGAGCTTTCCAAACCCTTGCCAAGATTTCGTTGGACACCAACTCATCAGAGTAAAAGAGATCCCTCAAGATAAGTGATGATTAACACATTCAACTACTTTACTTCCTGCAATTAATCTAGCCGACGACATAGACTTGTATTCAAAGGTGAAAAATGTATTCTACACATACTTGCATAGTTTTTTAAGGTAATCAAAAGACTACATTTTCCCGGTTTATTCAACAAATGAGGCTATTATCAGTGTGTCCTATATCAATAAGTGAATCAATCACTTAATATGATTAGAGATAGAATCAAATAAGTAATTAATGTACTTTCACTAATATGACATACGAAAACACACCAGCAATTCCACCAAAAAAATCTGCTGGTATGGACAGTTATTATTTAGAAAATGTTTTGATATAGTAGTTAAAGCATTAGATTTTTAAACCGACTTGTTATAGATTCAAAGTCTATCACGTTTAATAATTTGTTTTTAACAGTTGAAACTTCACAAGATACAGAACAATGTTAACTTCACATAGTCCCTTAAGTCTCCGCTTCGAAATAGATGCTCAGTCAGTCACTAACAACGTAGAACTTCGTACGTGCGTACATCAGTTCGAGTTGCCATACCACAATAGCACAGAGATGCAGTTGTTGATTCAAATCCCGTAGTGGTAGAGGTGCTGAAATAACTCCACAATCTATGAAATCTGCAAAATTAAAGGATGATAATTATTAATTAACCTGACTGATTCATACACAACGGGACACTATACTACTTCATTCCAATGATTCTTCGAGTAAACAATTTCAAGATAATTTAATCATAGACTACATTATATAAATCAATTCAACTTACCACCACGTTCAACATCATAACTATTAGGATCAAATTGAGCATTATCATTTGGCATATGAACACTAGCAATAAGTAAGTGATTTTGTTCATCAGATGTATGAGTTCCCAAGATAAGCCGATGAATAGAAAAATCTTTACCTTCTGGTCTATGAAAGTATATATGAATAATAAGTAGACTATTAGATCTGAATAATGCCCATGTATAAACATACTATGTGTTCATTTTTAATGAACGGAGAATGTTATTCATACACAGATGATACTCAGAAGTATAATTAGATTACCAACATAAATTATCAAAAAATTACTTCATAAGTATGACAATGTTGATTTAATGATCTTGATGACAGAAAAAACCCATTTTCTAATGATATTTTAGGAGTGCACATGGAACAAAAATCGAAGATACACGAATGGAACTCATAACTGTTCATGATTGTTATTTGAACTTTTGGTTAGCCTAGATCTGATTTGTGTTCGTTCTTTATCGTGTTCAGAGCCTGATGAGATGATTTTACTAGGACCCATCAGTACAATATAAATTCATTGGTTTTTCATAACCCTTTGATTCAAATTATTAATAGATGTCACAACTGTTTGTATATCTTTCTAAGTAACATCTAGGTCAGCCTCGTTTTTAGAACTACCTAATTGTGATTTCAGTTGTTCCTGGAATTTACCTTGAGCTTTTTCATCGCTGAGTTCAATACTAACGGGTCTTCTTAGTGTGGCTTTCCTGAGTCCAGTGAAGCGCAAGCAAATTCGTGCTTGTATTAAATCATTATCAGAGTCTAAACATGTACTCCAGAACGAGCAACAGTCTTCTATTGAGCCTCTTCAACGATGACTGATGGCAATATAGTCTATTTGAGTTCATCATTGGTTTTGGTGCAAAGGAACACCATGTTAGACGATGTCTTTTTTCATGCATCGACTACCATACCTGGCTGTCCAAACAGAATTAGGTGGAGAGGGGTTCGAGCCAGGAAGTTAGTGGCTGAAAGTCGAACGCTTTAATCATTAAGCCACCGCCTCACATATACGAATCGAGGGATTTCTTAAATTTTGGTAGTCCTATCACCTGTGAATTATTTTTCACCGTCTAGTTCGCTTAATTTCTCTGTTTGAGATTTATTCCGATACTGATAAACGGGAGAAATTAAACCTTATCTTTAAATCTTAATAGGTTTACTATCTTCTATAAAGTCTGGTTAGCCAGTATAGTTTCTAAAATCAACTGCGAGTCTATATATTTTAGCTAAATACTTTTCGGACAGGCACAAGTATGCTCTGCAACAATAAGGAATCGACAAGGACGCTCAGACTACTTAAGATAGTAATTATATACAATTGGGCCATCCCATACTTTGAACAACCTAAAATTGGACATAATTAATAGACTGACAGCTTACCTTGTGACTTCGGGTAACCATTGAGCTGTAAGACTTGGCCATTCCAGGGCGTGTGTCATAACCATATCATACAGGAAAGGAGTATTCTTTTTCCAAATTTATATTCTTCATTAATAACACGTTCTTCCACACCATCTTCGTAACCTGCACAGAATAAATATAATGTGTCTGAAAATATTTCTGTATGAGTTCGACTAAATAAACCAAAGTAAACTCTAGTCGATAAATATCACATGCGACGTAGAACTCGGCACATATGTGCATCAGTTAAAGCTGTCACATAACATGAGCACAGTGAGATGAGATTAATGTAATCTGATTGATTCATCCATAAATTATAGTCTCGCCCATCTGAGGATTCAGAATCTAAGGGGATACATAGTAAATGCATCTACGCTGTTGTGAATGATTATGAGTCATATCGGCAAGTATCTAACCATTGGTCGCAATAACTGTGGATGCACCTGCGCCATTGCAAACGATTTTGAGCCACGTCATTCAGGGGCTCTAACCATCGGTTGCTATCATCTCGCGGTCCCCAACCAGGTAGTCTACACCTACCAACATGACTCAGTCCACTTGTCAGTGACTTCATGGACTTGTGCCATGTTTTGGTTTGGCCGCCCCTAGCTTTCTTCCAACCTACTCCTATACCACTGAACATAGCACGTCGAGGCAGTCGGCCGTTGGGCATACGTAACACGTGTCCAAGCCATCTCAACTGGTGAAGTTTCATTACTTCATCAATTGATTTGCCATCCTTACCTAGTACCCGTTTCCTAACAACTGTGTTACTTACTCGATGGTCCCATGATATACGAGCAATGTTTCGAAGACACCTATGATCAAATACTAGTAGCCTACGGATATCCTCTACTCTTACCGGCCATGTTTCACTGCCATAAAGTAGGACGAAACGAACTGCTGCGCAGTAAACACGTCCTTTGGTTGATAGACGGATATCTCGCCTACGCCATAAATGACGCAAGTTGGCAAAAGCTAGTCGAGCCTTCCGTATCCGTGCTGAGATTTCGTCACACACTAAACCACAAGGGCTGATGAGACTTCCAAGATAAGTGAAGCGGTCGACACACTCAACTACTTCACTCCCTATCACTAGGGTTGCTTATAGCTTTCTTTAAACCTTATATGTCAAACAGTATCACCAATCGAAGTAGGAGGTACGTATAACACGTCCCAACTACCCGATCTGACGAATTTTTATTGCCCTACCAACTAATGTGCCACCCTTAATTAGCACCCTATGCATAACCTCCAAAGTACTTAGTTGATGGCCCCAACAAGTACAACCAACACTTTGGAGACACCAACGGTCGAGCACTAGTGATCTACAAATATCCTCAGTTCTTAACAGCGATGTTTTACATTTAAAGTAGAACAGATTAAAAGTAAGCGGAAGCCACATTAGACTATAAGATAGTTAGTAAAAGAAATCCTTAAAATTTTCTAGACTTTCGATAAAATGATTCTCGACTTAAATACACAGAAACCTGGTATACACAAACCACCACTGGCGAAGCTGAAAACTGAAGTATTTGAGAGGTTCTGAATATAATCTAGCGATCATAAATAAAACGTAGCTACCATCCGCTGTTTCTGAGTGAGTGACCAGAAAAAGCCCACATCCTACGACCATTTATTTAATTGACACTTAATCATGTTATTGAAATAATTTTCATACAAGCATGTTAATTTCCAGGGAAAATAATCCTATTGGCTGGTTAGTCTTATCTTTCGACATTAGTTTACTAAGCTGCTCATGTTAGTAACTCAGTCTCGTGAACATTTACCAATCAGTCAGCACTTTCTTCACCCATGTTAACAGTACCCATATGCACTTAACACTACCGGCATAAATTTAAAGCAAGTTTCCATAAACATTTTACAATGAGATGGGTCTCACTACTTTTAAAAGCTAAACTTCGCTACAGAAATAAATGATCTATGTTAGTGAGTACTTCAATAAGAAGTTGAGGAGCCAAATGTTTACTCTAGAAGTCCCATCTATTTTTTCGATGAGAATTCAGCGGAAATTCATTGCATGCATTTGATAAATCACCATCAACCCAGTACTTAACTCCACTATGCACTCAGTCAATCCCAATAACGCCTCAGAGAAGTAATGAGGGAATTATCAGGACAAAAGTAGAGCATTCATTATATCAGAACTAGTGGCAGACTAGACATTGGATTTGCAGTTTCGAATAGAAAAATCTAAAGAAACCACTCACAATCATGTTACGTGATGCTTCAAACTACACTAAATTTTGCAGAGTGAGACGTTCACACCATGTAACAGGGCTCAGTTCATCAATCACACCCTGAAAATAATCTTAAACCAAGCTTCCATCACCTCATTTCGACTCTAATACTAGTATGGACAATATATACAGGTCGGCAGCGACTGGTCAAATGTAATAAACGTAGCAACTGAGCTGAGAAGTGTGAGAAAACACAGCGTCCAACTTCCCACTTTAAATGAACTGATTATACGGCTTAGTAACTACCCACTAGTAAAATGCAAGTTTGACCAGTCTGTTTTAGTCATTTTGAGGAAGGTGACTGGATGACATATGCATCACATATGTTGTGAGTTAGTTAAAAGAAAGTAATCTTTAGTGAAACATGTACTGGTTAATCCATGCCTGATACCTTGAGGTATGCCGACATGAAATTACCGTACAGTGAATCCATGAACCAACTCATGGTTGCAAGGCAAAAACACTCAATGGTTTAAAGGTATTTTATGGCAATATAAAACATACCTGCATCAGTTTCAGGCATTTCTAGGGAACCTGATCGAGTTGACTACAACTTACGACTTTGAATTCTAGGTTGGCGCTAACGAACGGTAACCTGTACTTCAACAACTCGATATCAATATATTTGTGACACACTGGTGCCAGTTAATTTCGTTTGATGTTAACTCGTGATTCAAAGTCGTCGATATATTCGAATGTTTTCAGCCCAGTAACAAGATTACCCTTACCTAATCACATCTGTTACCCCTCGTCCAGGAGCATAGGCCGACCACAAGCACTCGTCATTCAACTCTGTCCTGGGCAATCCTGTGCAGTTGTCTCCAGTATTTATTCATCCTATTCATAATTGCTTCCAATTCTCGACACAGTTTGTTCTTTGTCCTTCCTTTTCTCCCTTTCAGTTCAGGATTACAATTTAGAACTTGCACCATGATGCGGTTTAGTGATTTGCGTAATGTATATCCTATACATTTCCATCGTATTTTCATAATTTCCTCTTTATCTGGAAGCTGGTTTGTCCTCTTCCACATTAGGCTGTTTTCAATGGTTTCTAGTCAACGGACATTCAGGATCTTGAGTAGACAACTATTTATAAACGCATGTATGTTTGTGGTAGTTGTCGGAGTTTCAAATCCGTGCAGTATATCTAAATTTCTTGACTTTCGTAGTGAATGTTCTGATTTTTTTAATTGTTTGACGTTTGTTTTCAGTCCCATGTGTTTTTAAGATGAAGGAATGCTGCCCTTGATATGCCAATCCTCGCCTTTACGTCTACATCGCATCCTCCTTGTTCATCAATGATGCTGACCCGCTACTTGTAAGATCCCACCTCTTCAAGAGTTTCCCCATCAATTGTGATTTGGTTGTTCTCTGTGTTATATTTGAGGATCTTACCTTTTTTTTGTAAAGTCCTACAGATAAAGAGGAGACTGCTACACGGTCTGTCTTCACATGCATCTGTTGGTGCCTATAGGATAAAAGAGCGAGGTCATATGTAAAGATCAAATTGTAGTTTCAGTTAATTCACATATTTTCCAGAACGTCTGGAAACGATGAAATTTAAAATTATGGTCATTTTTATTGTACGTTTTTCATCGCTATATTATACTACATGTCTCCTTATATGAAACAAAGACGAACAGATGCTACTAATTATAGCAAGCTATCTGAAAAGTGTCTACAAACGAAAAGACTGTTGGGTTTAAACTTCTGACTGGCCATGTCTTGGGGTCATCACTACCTCACTAGGAATGGAGGGAGATTCAACTGCAAATAAATCCCCAAAATAAGTAGTTCTGTAAGTATTCAAGATGGATGCTAACCTCATTAGCTTTGATGAACGCATATAGCTGAAGGTGCTTGATCACGCGTCCGTATCAGATCGCGAGTGGATACGCCATGCTAACCATCATTTTCAACTGTTAGTTAGTTTAGATTAAACGTTCCATCGACATACCGATAAACTTCCAAATATAACTTCGAACTCCGTTTCTGACCTCGGATTTCACTAGGTTGGCACACTTCGATTATAAATGTGCTATGAGCAAAGGCGTTGTCAAACAAAGAATACCTGTAGCCTCTTTATAACTATATCATTCACTTTACATTACCAATATATTGTCAGATCTAATGTCAACTTATCATCAAGATTTAAAAAGTGCGTTCAACAACAAAATACTTTAGTGAAAGGATCAAGTCATTCGTAATTGGATATTACGAGAATATTGTTTGTATGTTTTGTATTGTTCATTGAACGGTTGTCATGACAATAAAGATCAAGGCATATTTAAATGACACAATAATATCCTGGTTTTGGAGGATTTGTATACTTAGATTCGCTTACTCCGACAGAGGAGCAAAGTAAGTTTAGGTTTCACTACTGCTCTATCAAAACGCACATAGTATCGCTTGATGCTTTGATCGTGTAGGTTAAAAAATATCGGAATGCGATCGGGTCTCTTTGCTTTAAACATATTTTAATTCATATATATCGTTAATATATATTCTAACATATTAGAAGCCGTAAAATTATGGTAACCGAAAATTAGTGATATTTTATTTCACATGTATATACATCCAAATTGTTGGATAAAAAATGTCGAAACCTCTAAAAATGTTTATTGTTACTTTGGAAATATTTCTAACGTAACAGTCGTCATGAATGCTGATACTGATAAATATTTCTGTACTGGCACATTGCTTGTCAGAATAAAGCGGTTTGTAGTAACCTTGCATGAGTCTACAAAGTGATGCCTCCTAAAGTTATGTCTGGTAAGGCCACGAAGAAAGGGTCGAAGGTTAAACTGCCGAAGGTTGATTAGAAGAAGAGGAGAAGGAAAGAGTGTTATGCTATCAAAATCTACAAAGTTCTTCGTCAAGTTCATCCTGACACTGGTATCTCGTCGAAAGCAATGTCGATCATGAATTCGTTTGTGAACGGTATGTTTGAGCACATTGCCACAGAAGCTGACCGACTGTCACTACAACAAAAAGTTGACATTTTAAAACCCAGAAGTGCAGACAGAAGTTTGATTGTTGTCGCCAAGTGAATTGAGTAAAATTTTTTGCCTCTTTCAGATTCGATGTGCACCACTAGCTGATTACACACAGTCAATCATCATCTCTGCATGGCACATGTATGTCCCTTCTTTACAACTGGATATTGATATTGGATGTCCCAGCTCCGTTTATTTCTGCCTTCATTCCAACTTATTATCTCTCCTAAGCACTATCTTCTCCATCCACAATTGAATGATCACTGGGTGGCCATCAATGTCATGCGTGTCTAGTCCTTATTATTATTATCTCACTATCTTCTCCATTGTTTGCCAACTGAACATCATGCTTGGAACATACAAATACCTACAGTTTTCTTTTCTTTTATATCAAGAGCATCTTCACTACATGAGAATTATTTTACTCCTCCAAACTCATCATCGACGAGTTGTTAAAATACATTGAAACATGTCTTTAATAATTTCACTCCGTTGTGCTAATGTGTTATGGGATGCTGAACCTATACACTTGTTGGCTTTACGCTGCACATGACTTACCGATTGGCGTCCAAACCAAACAAATGGTTTAAAAATAGTAAAGATCAATTCATCTTAGTTCTCAAACAGTTTAATAGGGAGTAAGAATGACATCAGTAAAAATAACTCAACTAAATGGAAGACTATTGAGTCCTGTTAACTATTGACTCAGTTAATTCCATAAATTACAGAAGTGACGATTGAAAAATGAGACAATAAATTCACAAAATGTAAGGGTATTTTAGAATTGCAAGTGTTGTGTGATAAATTAAGTGAATATGCTTCCAAGACGTATACAGAACTAAAATACAGAATATAAAAGCAACCATAACAGAATAACTTAATGTGTGTCACCGACCTATCGATCAGTCATGAGTATACGTATTTTGTAGGAAATGCTTGGTCCATTTTACGATACTGAGGATTTTCAAAGCGACGATCAATTTATCTTTACTTCTCTTATAAATTTATTTTCTGCCAACTTCATGTTCTAATTAATTACAAAATTATATATTTCGGGATTAATACTTTCAAAAAAATTTAAAAATCTTTGAGTGCCACCAAATTCTAATCTATTTAGAATATCAGTATCTTTCTGAGATCAAATATCAAACTGTACAAACATATATGCGTAAGTAAGTTGTAAATTTACAATTTGATTAAGAGAGTACCATTAAAAGTAAGAAACATGTATGCATAAGTTCCAAGAGTTTTATGTATAATTATTTAATTTTGGGTTGTCATATTCATTTGAAGTAAAAAACAAAGTATGTACTTAATCCCAGAATAAAAAAATATTCCATTAATATGACTGTGGTCCAGCATTAAATTGTACTTGGATATTCAATCGAGCATCTGGAGAAAATATAGTTTAAAGATAGGTTAACAGGTGTATTATTGATGAAAATCTAAATGAATTGACGTGACTTATCAAATGGTCCGTTTTTCTAAATTATTAACAAGACGTCGTAACTGTTTCATTTTTATTTATAAGTGTGGAAGCATATTGTGATATAGATGCCTACAAAGTCAGTCAGTCAGTCAGCCAGTTTACTCGATGTAAGACTTGATACATCTATACATCATTCCAAGTTGCCACACCACACTAGCACAGTGAGGTAACATTATTTTAAGACGAATCCCAGAATAGTATGAATACTAATAGTATCAGTATTAGTAGAAAGGATAAAAGGCCTATAAAAAGATTTTGCCACTCAAATTCAAGAGAAAGACAAGGAATGAATGTACGAGTGCCATTGCAAAAGATCTTGAGATAATTTACTGAAAGTCTCTAACCACTGATCATACAGAGAAAAACATAAAACTTAGGACGGAATTCCAGCTTTAACATACAAGACGTATGGATGACTGGATATATGTGATCTGTTATATATATTTTTCTGCACCATTTATTTGTCATAGTATACGTGCTATCCAGGAGAGTAACGTGTTCTCCATCTAAATTCAGTTGAAATATAATAGATTGGTCGCTAACTGGGTGCCTAGGAGGATGTGTACCAAGTGTATACGCGATAATATCTTCCAGTTCTTCTTTCAAAAAAATCAGACGTTCCATTAGTGCTCAGTAAAAACTCTACATTCATCCATTTTTTCTCCTCTCATTATTTTCTAATCTTGTATTGTTATCCTTTTTGTTTTAGAATTGCTCAGCAGCCTTTTCATCTACAATTTAACAACATTTTCTAAGCAGGATCAAAAGTATCAGTCCTGATTTTGTTTCATTTTTCGTTACACAAATGGTTCAAGTATTTTGTCACAAAAATCCATATCCATTTTATAGGTATCACAAATCAACGCTTATTATTCATTGAAAAATAAAGCGGATAATTTTAATATACTTTGTATTGTGGAATCTATCATTGGTGGTCTTATGCTTGAACAACCTAATAATCCTATTGAATATATTAAAAATCGTTTAATTGATACAAAACGTATACAAGAACATGTTAAACTACATAAAGAATTATATATTTGGCCACATCATCCAATATTAGATTCATCCAAATCACTTACAACTAATGAACATCATAAATTTCTTCAAAATTGTTTCTATCATCGTATAAAACGTTTACAAGAAGATAAATTGTTTCTTGAAAATGAATCTAAACCTATTGAAACTACAAATCCATTATTTTCATTAACAGAACTTGATTTAAATTCATAGAGGATTTGATTCAAAGCAACACTATATTACAAGATTGCTAAAAAGATATAATAGACACATATGTAATCTGTTGTATGAGAAGCTTTTTAAGTTTTGTTTTATGTCTTTTGACAAATCATTAGTTGTATAGTACTGTGTAATTTAGTATTTAGTTTCTTAAATATACACTTATTGTTTGTAATACTTTAACGGTCTTCTAATGTCTTAACATCTTTATTGAAATATATAATCTTGAATATGAGAACTACTATGACTTTAAAACTAGGCTTTTTATCATGTGATTTATTCGTCAATCAAAATATGACTTACACAAACCTCAGTACTGTGCCAAACCAATAAAATTCGACCGGTATAGGTAGCCTAGCATCCTTGTTGGTCTTTTGTTTGCCTAGCTTTTCCAATTGAGTATAGAACACCAGTAACAGCTTCCACCATGGGAATCATTTGTTTTAAATATAATTGGCTTATATATTAGCCACACAGATCACATCAAACCAGAAAATAGGGAATAATGTTTGTACAAGATCAAGCCAAAATGTGACTGTGAGCATGGAAGACTGTAATCAATAAACTGAATATAACTTAAGAACAGTATATCGTATAATAATAATCTATGAATTAAAATGAAGCTTATAATAAGAGGAATATAGATATACACAATCTAGTTACTGAATAGTCATATAATAGGAACATATATAGGTAATATTAATTCATTATTAGTTCTCAGAAGTTACTCTTAATTGAATCTTCACTAGAATATAACAAGAACCATGATTTATTGGGACAATGTAAACATTTAATCACTAGGTTATTTCGTAATAATCAGAGAGAGAGAGAAAGAGTAAGAGTTTCCATGACTACAATTTACTATGATCTCTGCTGGTTTATTTATGGTAGAAAAAGATCTGAAATGAATGAAAAATGAAAAAAAAACTCAATAATCTCCATAACCCCTTTACCAGTAATTAACATGTGCTCACTAGTGACTAGCTTCGTGGGGGAATTCTCCGAGTTCTAGCGAGAAGCCGTGACTAGTGGAGCACATCCATGTCGGGTAGAGACAGGTATTTACCTCAGTACAATGGAAGATGGTCATGCAATTTCGTGGATTGGTTCATATTAGACACTATAAGTCAAAACTTATTAGGAAAATGTTTCATTATGGAACCAAATGTAGCGACGAATTGAAAAATAGAAATAATATGAAAGATATTTGTTTTAACAGAACAGACATTGTGAATTACAGGTTACTCTATCTAAATATGATTATGTTTTTCCAATTCCCGTTGAATAAGATGACTTTAATGTAGGGAATAAGCATCAACTAAAAGACAGAATCGGATTGATTTGTCCAGTTGCTAACTTATGAATCACATATGTAATGATAAGACTATTTAGGGATTTAAATTAAACAACAGACCTCCTCTAGTTATATTTACCAATTCCCTTGTACTTACAGTAGAAAGAACGTTAGCAGAATGGAAAGAATGATATTCAAATGAATCTTGGAATATATGATGAAGTATTTGATCTTGAACAGCATGAAACTACATGATAATGCTAATAGACAAACATTTATTGGACACTGATTATTCATTTATTCTTGCTATTTTTTTCCAAGTCATAAATAGGCAGAATAACAGCAGAATTCGATGTTACGTAGAAGCTCACAGCTATCTGTTGTGCCAAACCCAAATTCTGTGTACAAAAAAACTTTCAGTTCAACTGATACTCACTTATTTACTTTCTTACTTACTAATGCGTGTTACTCCTCGTCGACAAGCATAGACCGACCACAAACACTCTCTATCCAACCCTGTCCTGGACAGTTCTTTCCAGCTCTTTCCAGTTGTTATTCATCATTTCCATATCTACTTCTATTTAGCAACGTAACGTGTTCCTTAGCCTTCCACTTTTCCACTTCCCTTCACGATTCCACATTAGTACATATCTCGTGATGAAGTTTGGTGATTTCCGTAATGTATGTCCCATCCATTTCCATCGTCCTTTCCTAATTTCCTCTTCAACTGGAAGTTGGTTGATTCTCCCCTCCCCCCCAATAGGATGTTACTGATGGTATCTGATCAATGGATGTTGAGTATCTTGAGTAGATAACTATTTATAAATACTTGTACCTTCTTGATGATGGTTGTGGTAGTTCTCGAACGTTCAGCTCTGTAAAGAAGAACTAACTGGCTTTACGTTCGTATTGAAGATTCTGACTTTGATATTGGTTGACAGTCGTTTTGAGTTTCATGTGTTCTTCAGTTGAAGGAATGCTACCCGTGCTTTGCCAATCTTCGCCTTTCCGTTTGCATCTGATCCTCGTTGTTCGTGGATGATACTGACCGGGTACGTGAATGATCCCACATCTTCCAGAGCTTCTCTATTGAGTGTGGTTGGGTTGGTATACTCAGTGTTGCATTTGAAGATCATTTAACTAATAATTTTCTCTTCCTTGTTTTTTTCTCTCTTCATTTTCAACTACTTAAAATTCTTCTTGTTTATTTGACTTTGCTTTTATTTAATTATAAAACTTTCATTGTTCATTATAGTCATGTTTTCATTCTTAATTAATAGTTATTAAAGCTAATTATTATCATTTTAACATTATTCAACAGAATGTTTTACCTCTTATCTAGTCAGTCAATTACGTCCTTATATCCTATACAACTGTTGTTTATGCTAATTATGTCTGTTGACAGATATAATTACAGTAATGTTTGTCACTGCTGACTACCATAATGAGGTAATATGACCGGTGACTGAGATTATATTATTATTAGATTGGATACTTGATCGGTGTACTAAACACAAACTGGGATCATGTTATAAGAGATAGATGATTCAAAACCAAAAATAGTAGTACGACTTTGCCTTCGGACTTTGGGTTTGCTACTTTTAGTCTTACCGTTCTTCAACCGACCTGTCTGGCATGGTAGAACCTTGAGGAACGATTGTTCCAGTCAGTATAGGTCGTTTAGTTCATCACAATACGGGAGCACGACCACCACCTCAAGGTAGGAACAAATGATAGGATTTAGGTAAAACTTTATTCGAAACAGCTTTAGTCTACACATGGATTGAAAATGTAATGTTTAAACAATGAAAAAGGAGAAAATAGCAAACAAAAGATTCATTGAATGTTTTTACATATTCGATGATTTTATGTGCACTTGCAGTATTGTGAGAACGGAACACGGGTGAACTCGACGAAGCTCTTAAGAGTTCATAAAGAGCCGAAGATATTCTATCGAATCATCTTTTGGAAGAATATTTCAGTATCCTTACGTGTAGTTCCCTATTGGACAAATGCTAAATACCTCCTGTATGAGGATTGGATGACTATAATGATTTCATTTTTACTAAAAAAACAACTGTGAATACCTGAGAGTTTTGTACTATATTTGACGCTGTTTGGAATAGTACTCCTTCTTACTTGTCTTCTGTTTTCTGATTTGCGATTTGGAGGGTTCTAATGTTCGAGTATTCAAGTTGTACTCGGTATTTTAATAATCTCAACTCTAAATATAACAAATATATTATTTTTATGCGACTTTTAAGGACTACTTTTAATTCATAAGTACTATAAATATATTTCAGAATGTTTTCAAATTATTTCTGCGTAAACTTCATAAATATTTAAGCCCAAAATTCGACGTATTTGTTTACTTTCATCATGTCCGGCTGAGCTACACTGATACATTCATAGCAGATTGTCCCGTATGATTTTAGTAAGATGAATCTGTTTATTCGAGGTATGGGTTTATTGTTATAATTAAAGTACCCTTGGCTTACCTTGAACTTTGCCTGTAGCTCTTCTAGAGTTACTGCCAGTCCCAAGCGCTAATGAAGGAGGAGTGTTGGGCATGGGGTCGGTAACCTCATCTCGTAGAAGAAAATCTTGCTAAAAAAAACGCCAACCAGATTAGACAAATTAAAATATTTAGATTCTGCCCTGGGAGTTGAAGGAAGAATTATGACACCTCAGGATGAAAGCCGATATTCTTTGGAAGTTATGAGGCCGATGACCTTTCTAACAACCAGTGCAACAATCTTTATAGGTACATGGAACGTCCGGATAATATGTGAGACAGGGAAGACCAGTGAAGTAGCAACGAAAATGAGGAGATACAACTTGGCAGTACTGGCAATCGGTGAAACCCATTGGACCCATTGCACCCGCCAATGATAGCAACGACAAAAATTAAGATAAGTTATATGAGAGGCTGCAATCAATCATAGCGAAGTGCCCAAGAAAGGACCTCACCATCCTGATGGGAGATCTTAACGCCAAAGTGGAATAGACAACACCGGATATGAAAATATCATGGGACGACATGGACTGGGAGAAAGAAACGAAAATGATGAGAGACTTACAAACTTATATTCATTCAATAAATTGGTCATAGGAGGCACAATATTTCCACACAAACGTATACACAAAGCTATATGGATCTTACCGAACCACACCACGGAGAACCAGATAGATCATATTTGTATCAATAAAAAGTTCAGAAGGACAATGGAAGACGTGAGAAGCAGAAGAGGAGCATTACAAAGTTCAATACAGACTTCCTTCGAGATACTAACAAACTAAACAAATTCAAGATAACTCTCAACAACAGCTTCCAAGCCTTACAGGATCCACTGAAAAAAGGATAAACTACTATGGAGGACAACTGTAAAGAGATCAATGAAGCACTAACTTCAACGTAACAGGAGGTGCTAGGCCACAACAGGCATCATTACAAGAAATGAATCTCTGTCGAAACCCCGGATCCAAGATTCAAGAATGGAAGAACAAGAAGACAGCAATTAACAACAGACAGCCGAACAACAACAGAGAAAGTCAAAGCACATACCAAATATACTGAAGCAAACAAGCAAGTGAAGAAGAGCATTAGAACCGACAATCAGAAATACGATGAAGACCTAGCAACGATAGCGGAAGAAGCTGTAAGAGAAGGAAATATCAAACAACTATGTGACACAATGAG